ACTAGACTCAAATAATAAAAATTCATATCAATGATCAATCAATCAATCAGATCCTGTTTTAGAAATCACCACTGCCCTCTCAAATTAATCACATCCAACCTTAGTATGATCTTCAAATCGTCTAGTAGTTTTGCCAGCAGCCAAGTCCCAGAGACGGAGAGTCTTATCCCAAGATCCAGAAAGGGCATAGTTCCCATCACTGGAAAGTACAACATCAGATATGAAATGAGAATGTCCATAGAGACGTTTCTGTGGCACTCCATATTGGGTTTCCTCACGTGTTAACTTCCAAACAATAAGAGTTTTGTCTGAAATATTAAAAATAATACCTGCAGTTTTTGCTACAAAATTTGAAATGTAAAAAAATGCATGAAAAATAAACAACAGATGAAGGATTGATGAAATTAATTTGGAATAAAGTTCCACATGTATTGAAGATAATAACATTTAAGTAAACATTTTTACCTCGAGAAGACGACAAAATCATATCAGGATATTTAGGATTTGTTGCAATTTGGGTTACCCATCCATTGTGGCCCAAAAGGGTCCCCTTTAATTGAAGAGTCTCGCTCATTTTGATTAATGGTTAAGATCACAACGTAACAGCACGTTCTCTACGACACCCAACAGCAAAAGAAACACTTAAAATAATTTACAAATCTACTGAGTGACGTTTGACTTCTTCATCTTCTTTTCAACTTAAGTGTTTAGCTTCTAGGTCATTACCCAGTTTTGACAAAATAGGTGTTTTTTTTCCTTTTCATTCGAAGGGCAAATTGTTAACTCTTTCGTCTCTTCCAATTCAGATCTATTATTCTTTTCCCATTTTCTCCTTTTGTAAGTTATCTTTCAGTGTCAACCTAGCTGACTCGCCTTGGATAACAAAAACAAGACGAATTTTTAAATTTTCCAATAAATTCGAAACGATCAGCAGCTTTAGGTGAGGTCTTAAATTCAACAAAAAACTTCTATTGGGTGTCCTTAACTAACAAAAAAATGCTAACGTTTAGAATGGATTACATGAATTATCGGTGAATAAAGAATCAGACTTTCCTATTGTTGTTTTTCAACTTTAAGATCAAGCAATAACCCTTGGCTTGCCGAATTTATGTGAAATTACTCACGCTTTTCCAACCACGCTTTTTAAAGTGTAGAACATCGAAATCTTTAATTACAGAAAAGCAATGAAGAGTGTAGTTTGAAATCAGTCTAAAGGAAAATATCCGGGCACCGGATAGTGAATTCCTAGCCAAGCTTTTTTGTGTTCCTTTGAGCAGAGGCATTTTCTGGCGCTCATGCATTTGGAACGTATTCTCTCAAGTTTGTGAAGATCAAATCGTGAGGTATAGTTTTTGAAATTACTATGGATCTTCATCAAGTAACGGTCGAATCAATCAGAAAAAGAAACGTATTCGTCTATGATTCAAATACATTCGTTCTAGCGTTGAAACGATGACGTCACATCAGCTATGATTTGAAACATATTCTTGATGATTGGAAACGGAATTTGACGTTACGTTACGTCAGTTGTAAATGTTTCTGCCTTATTTTGATCGCTATAGTTCACAAATTGCTGAAAACGTTTTATCAAATATGTTGTAGGGATGTATAAAATAAAGCTGGGAAATTATTACTTGTATAAATCCGATTCTGATTGAGCTTGGAGAAAATTGAAAAGTTTGTTTTTATTATTGAATTTGACATCTGACACAAATTGAATCATTCCATTCTGGTTATTATTAATGACGTCACTACGAATCGTTTTTCGAATACAGGCTTGAATACAGAGAACACCTCAGATTTCAACAGTCCCCTAAAAAGAAATAGAACGAAAAATACTTATTTCTTACTGTCTTTTGGGTCCATAACCTTCCACAATCTGAGAAATGAACCCAACTTTATCAGTAGAGAATTTGCTGAAATGTAATGAAAGCCAAACTGAAAAATTCACTCCAGAAAGTCACTGCATAATATGAACCACTGAAGAGTCCAATTAGTCAGTAACTTGTCATATTCATAAATTTTGCCTACGAATTGAATAATCAATGGAAGAAAATGAAATTTCTATACTTAACTTGCTAATTGGTTGACGTTTCCAAAAATAATGCTTTTTCGTTTTCAAAGCCCCAACAAATTCATTTCTGAACAACGAACAAATTTTCATTTCGCCTTCAATTTATTTTGTAGAAGATTAAGAACCCCAAAGACAGTAAGAAGTATTGACTCCTCCACAAAAAAGAATTAGAAAAAGACCTAGTCTCTCAATGCTACTATGTCATTTGTACTGTCGTTGCGTTGGGTAGAATGGAAATAATAAATAAAAATGAGCAGTGAAATGAGAATGTGAAAGCAGGAGTGCCACAAGGATCGATCTTAGGACCCATACTCTTTCTACTATATTTAAATGACCTGGCTACTGTAAGCATTTCTGGTAGTTCCACCAGTCACCATTAACAAAACAAGCTTAATCACTTTGAGTGCGATCTACCAGAAATTCACATGGAAAGTACACTAGTGGAAAATAAGATCTCTAAAAATTTTTTGAGAATGAATATCGATCAGTGTCTGAAATTCGATGAGCATATAAGCATTATAAATAAAGTTTCTTTTTCAAATCAAGAACTCAAAATATAATGGAGTGAAAATGTACGTTATCTAAAAGTTTAATAGAATGTGTCATGATACTATCTTTCAGGAGAAACTTGAAGGCAATTCTTGTCAAAAAGGCTTACTATACATAAGATGAACTTTTTAGGTTCAACTTCGACACATAATTTTCATATAACTATTTTTTTTGTAGTTTTTTCAATCCATATCATTTACTCACTCAATTTTTCCATTTCAAATATTTTGCTCAATTTTAACAAACATATTGGCCGAGTATGTGCTTAATAATTTATTAATCTTATATAGTTATTATGCATTGCATTTTAGTAGAAAAATGACAAGATTTACGTCTATATTCAACGTATATCTCCATTACTTCTCATCAGCGCAGAAAAAAACAGACTCTACACAGCAAAGTGCCTGGGGCTAAATTATAATTTCAACAGAGCTGAACTGCATGTATGAAACAGTCGTTAAGGGAAAAATTGTCAACTAGTAACAGCTCCACGTCATTAATAAAGCCCCAAGCAAGAAACAATGTACTACTTCTCTCAACAAAGATCAAAATTATGTCCGAAAACTATTGAGTACGTATGCATCTCTCCAAGATAGTATTCAGGCACAAATTGACCATTAGTAGACGACAAATATCAGCTGATTCAAGAACAGCAACTAGTAATGTATCAAGATAACACTGTCTTAGTTTTAAATTGAAATAAAACTCCACATTTTCACTCAGTAACTATTATTTTTTTGTACAAAAAATATAAGAATAAATTATAACAAAAATCTTCGGCTCTCAACATTATTGAATACCAACAAATCAGTCCTTTCAGGTTTTAGAATTCAACAAATAAAAATAAATTATACATTCTGTATATACAATATTGAAAGGAAAATGAAATCAATATGACGAAACACCGACTTGCCACACTCTAATTATATTGTCTGAGTAGCCTGCAAACAAAGTTTGCCCATCAGTCGACCAAGCCAAAGACAAACACTGTGGCGGTTCGGCTTTACTAGTCTGCGAAACGACTTCTGGTTTGAGATCTTCAACCATTTCTTTACTTTCCAAATCCCATATTTTGATAGAGGGGCCAAAAGCAGCACAAAGCCAGTACCTGAAAGAAAAATTCAAAACTTTAGGCAATAGAAACATCCAATGAGATTTAATATTTAATCTGAATGAATCAGTCCCATATCCGCTAACATCTCATAGATTTTTCAAGTGGTTACAGTGTTATGCATCACATTGATAAATCACAGCAATTATCAACGTCAAAATTTATAAGAGTGAAAATAGTCATACCTATTAGGTGAGAAGCACAATGCATTAATGATATCATTGTGGTCCAAAGTGTGCAAGTGCTTGCCATCATTTAAATCCCAGAGCATGGCTTTGCAGTCTTTGCCGCCACTGGCGCACAAACTACCGTCTGGAGAGACGGTAACAGTGTTCAAATAGCCAGTGTGTCCAGAATGATTGATCTTCAGTCGGCAATTGGTCAAGTTCCACACCTTCACCATACGATCCCAACCAGCAGAAACGATGATGGGGTTGGCGTGATTTGGTGAAAATCTAACACAGGATACCTAAAAAGAAACAGAAAAATTTTTCATCAGAACAAGTGCATGGAAATTTGTCACTACGAGAAATTCCAGATATGAAAGTTAATCAAAATTCATTCCATAACATGGTTTAATTGTTTCAATTCAGATTGAAGAACAAAAATAATCAGACATTTTGCTCACACCCATGAGTTGACTTTCATCTCCTTCCTGGCAACAACCAATAAAGTCACAGTTAAACCAAACTGGTGCTTTTTAGGAAGGACGTCGAGAAATCCTAATCAATTCACAAACTTACCCAATCTGAATGACCATCTTCTTGAATAGTATATTTGCACTCTGCCAAAGTGTTCCACAGCTTGATGGTTTTGTCTCGAGAGCCAGAAACTATCTGACGATTATCTACGGAGAATGCAACACTCAATACGTCCTGCACAAAAATAAACAGATATTAAAAATCCAGTTCATTAATAAAAAAAGTTAAGGTGAAATTGAAACCAATTTTGAAATCATTTTGGTGTCCGAATTGGGTACCAAAATAAATTTTACATGAAGAAAAGCCAAATCGCATAATCACAAAAGAAAAAACTGATCGAAATACATAATATAAATAAATGAGTCATTTAAAACTTGAAAAAATCATTCAATATTTCTGATAATCCCGCAGGAATACAAATTTAAAAAAACCAACAATTGCAGCTACAATTTCAAGAATGGGAACCTATCCAAATGTACTAATGAATCTGTCTTATTTCCGATTGAGGAACAAAAATAAGGGCATTTTGTCCGCACCCAGGAATAACTTTAATCTCCTTCCTTTTGACAACCAATACTGTTAAAAATACAACAAATTGGTGCTTTTAGGGAAGGTTGCATAGCTGTAAACATATCCACAACCATTAATTTAGATGTATATTTGAATGTTCTACTCAGTGTTATTCAAAAGTGTATTCCATGATTTACATAGCAAAAGACATCAACAGTAATCAAAAATAAACCTTTCCAAGTGAAAGTTCTACTCTTGACCATTCATATAGTGACTATTATACAGTAACTAATTGGCATTATTCTACAAAGCATATCACACCCTGGCAAGATTAAAATCAACAATTAAAAAAAAAACAAACATTTTGTCCTTAGTAGAATATAAAACTATGAAGTGTATAAAACAATTAGTCTGTCACAGAAGTATGTACTACAATTTGGACTTTGGCAGCAGCATGAAGTCAAAATAAATAATTTAAATCCCAAGGCATGCAACATAATCAAGAAATACATATGAAAGTGTATGAGAAAAAAATCTTAATAGTATATAACTTGTTTTTATCATACAAATAGTAGGTAGCAAGAATCACAGATAAAAAGTAAGCCTTTGACAGAGATAACATAACTCACTAGCTCGACAAGATTCACCAACATGAGATATGAATAGAAAGAAAAAAATAACAGCGACAAGTTGAAATATAGGTTAAATTCATGCTGCATGAAGCAAAATGTGTAGGTGCAATATTTGTTGTAACTTTGGTGGTAATGCTAATTTAGTCTGCATGTTCATAATATAAGATGTAGAATCAGCTTTTTGAATTATGATATTCCCGCCGGGTGTGATAAACAATTTTAAAAAATATTTCTTTCACTAATTTTTCAGTAAACCTGGAATATATATTATTAAACTCAAACCTTGAGAGGAATACTTACTCATTTTGAATGTAGTAAAATTTCAGACGAAGTTCCGAACCTCAGTTTTTCAATTATACAAAAAAAATCTTCTAGCTGTCATAATGGGGGAAATATTATTTTTATCCACTAAATGCACGTGGTATTTCCGAAAACAGACCTCTGATAAGAGTTGCATTTACTTATTGTATAGTTCAAAGGACCAGACACTGTTTAAGGAATTACCACTCTTGCAAATAAATCCAATCGCTTCCAACCTTTGTATGATCTTCAAATCTTCTAGTAGTTTTGCCAGCAGCCAAATCCCAAAGACGTAGAGTTTTATCCCATGAACCAGAGAGAGCATAGTTTCCATCACTAGAAAGTACTACATCAGATATAAAATGGGAGTGACCATACAGACGCTTTTGTGGCACTCCATATTGGGTTTCTTCACGTGTTAACTTCCACACGATGAGTGTTTTATCTACAAATTTGGAAATATTATACACGAGTCATAAGTAGTAAAAGTTGGAAAATGGTGGAATTACTATTACATAAACATATTAGCAAACAAAAAGTTGAATATTACCTCGTGAGGAAGATAAAATCATATCGGGATATTTAGGATTTGTGGCAATTTGAGTAACCCAACCATTATGACCAAGTAAGGTCCCTTTCAGTTGAAGAGTTTCACTCATTTTGAATAATATATACGTTAATTGAGTAAATACCGATATTTACGATACCAACACGACGACAACCAACAAGCGAAAGAACGAGAAACACAAAAACCAAGAGGCAATGACTGACGGAAGCGGAAATATCGACGTATGGATAAACTCTATCGTACATTAAGTGAACTAGACAACGGATACAGAGTGAAAGCGTCTGAAGGCAGCTGTCTTGTATCATGAGTTGTCACAAATGAATGATTTATATCAAACTATGCACATAAATATGAGTGAAGGTGTTGAAAATCTCGATTTTATTTGGTATATACCAACATTTTTTGTTCGTTCCAAGGTCCTCCATCTAGGAATCTTCATTATGCGCATACGACTACTGGAAATATTTAAAATAAGTCATACGTTAAAAAAACAAAGTCCTATCCATTTTTTTTAGTCATTGTTTGGAAAAAACTCATGATTCAAATTTGAAAATTTTGCTATTTTCGTGTATAAAATTATCGCATGAAATAATTCTGCTTTAACGAATTCTCAATTTTATAACATGAAACCAAAGATCTTACTGGAATACAGATAATTTCAAAGTGAGAAAACTGAACATATATTTTTGAGGAGAAACATTTTTGGCTTTTCAGTTCTCCATCATTGAAGTTTAGCAATTTTTTCTCAATGATAGAGAAGAAGAAAGGCAAAATGCTTGTTCAGAAATATATTTTATTAAATAATGAATGTGAAACATATATAATTCACATTCAGTTATTGTGATCATGAATATTATGAAACAATATTTCTAATTCATGTACTCAGCATATGAGGAGGGAACACCCATGTATTTTTCATCGTATCCTATTTTTCGAACTCTAAATTGCTTATTTATTATCACTTGTATTCCATGTTCCGTGTTAAACCATTTGAATCCATGTATTAAACTTTACTCCGACATAACCTATAAGGTTAGGTTAGGTTAGGTAGGTTAGGTACTTCGGCATTCCATTCAAAGAGGTGCTGTTCGCACACCAATGTTACAAATTTCAATCAATCTCGTATTGCGCCATTTGTTATTATTACTAGGGTTTCTATGAATCTTTGTTGGATACTGGAATTTTGACAAAAAAATCGTCTCTTCTGTGGAAAATTGGTGATATAGCTGTTGAAATCAAAATATTTCGGAACTGAGACATGATGTGTGTTCCTTAACACAATATGTATATATGGTTAGGATCTCCTATTTACTTTAGATGTGTTCATTTGTTGAGTTCACCAGCGTCCTCTTCAGTAGAAAAAAACAGCGTTTGAAAAGGTCTTGGTGGTCACACTGCTAATTGTCAAATAAAGAACGTTAATGTCAATTGTCATTGTGATAGTTTTTCATCTTGTTTTTGATGCTTTGAAAAATAAAACTATAAAGAAAGTTTTTGTTTTGAAATTGGAATTATAATTTTCTAGCGAGTTTTTGACTAGTGGAAATTCGAACGACACTTAACCATTCAAAATGGCTATGACTTCGTCTCAAGTGAAGCGAGAGCAACAGAATAGTATGAGCGGTAGCGGCACAGGTTGGCCCAGAAGAAATAGTCAAAGCACGACTCCTACAACCACAGTGGCAAATACAAATTTCGACAAGGGTTGTCCGCCATCAGCAGCTTTGAATCGAATTATCAATCTGTATCCTTTAACTAACTATATATTCGGTACAAAAGAACCACTTTTTGAGAAAGATCCCAGTGTTCCAGCTCGATTCCAGAGAATGCGGGACGAATTCGAACGAATAGGAATGAGACGAAGCGTGGAAGGAGTTTTATTGGTTCATGAACATGGCCTACCACATGTTTTATTGTTACAGTTGGGGACAACATTTTTCAAATTACCTGGAGGAGAACTGAATCCAGGCGAGGACGAAGTGGAGGGACTCAAAAGACTCCTTACTGAAACCTTAGGTCGTTTGGATGGTGTGAAACAAGACTGGCTCGTTGAAGATATCATTGGAAATTGGTGGAGACCTAATTTTGAACCACCTCAGTACCCCTACATTCCCTCTCACATAACAAAACCCAAAGAACATAAAAGGTTGTTTTTAGTTCAACTACAAGAGAAAGCGTTATTCGCCGTCCCGAAGAATTATAAGTTAGTGGCTGCGCCTTTGTTTGAATTGTACGATAATGCACAGGGTTACGGACCAATAATTTCATCACTTGCACAGGCATTATGCAGATTTCAATTCATTTACATGTAATATTGATATTTTCAAACAGTGGATTTGTAATTTTGAATGAGTGACCATTGTAATGTTAGGTGAAAAAATTTATCATTAAAGTTGTCTACTAGTGCTCTTTATTCAAAAGTTTTCTGTACACATTTTATTTTGTTCTATTGATTTACCGCTGTTTGAATCTCACAATTATATTTTACTTACAAATTGGAATCAATTGTTGACAGTGGGGAGGTACTAGTCACATATCAATATCAAAATGAAATCTTTTTTAATGATTATGATGACTTAGGCCATTCCAAATGGATGTCGCTTAGTTTCTTTATTCCATGATTAATTTACTGGAATGACAAATATTTGGATTTGGATGTAGTTAATTAAGATGCCAACCATGTTCTTATGTATAAATTGTGTGAATTTTGTAAAAGGTGAAAATTATATGAAAAAAGAACTGAAAGGTTATTTGTTTTTATTTTCAAATTAATGTACAGTATTTGAAAGAAATCTGTGTTATTTCTATAATTTCAAGATAACTGTACCGTTTTATAAGGAACTGTGATATTTCTTATTTGTTTGGAGATTTATTTATATCATTTATATAATCGAATAGAACTGGTGGATACTTGATGAAAATCCATATTGAAAAACTAATTAATACAGTTTATTGTATGATAGTGAAAATCATATGCTAAACTGTATTAATCAGTTTTTTTTTATTTATATAATACTGAAGATATTTATTAATCATCATTTAGTAAGTATGTCGAAGAAAGTCAGTTTCAAACATTTTCAAAGTCTGCGACTTTGCTACAATTAACATATTGGCTCTATTAAAAAAAGCAAGAATCCACTAGGACACACATATTCCAAATTGAAGACCAGTTAAATTTGAAAATAAATAGAGATAAATAAATGCATTGTCACTGAACATTTTCATCAATTACATATTGAAAATGTTCTTCATACCCCAGGCATCATGAAATCAATGAAAAAGAAATACGTTGATTTTTCAATTGAACTATATATTATATAAAAAATTTGGTTAGGTTATCAGACTTTATATTTGGGTTGCAGATATGATCTGAATACTGAAAGATATAAATTTGAGAAGTATCCTAAATGACTATTATTTCACAAGGTCATGTGAAGTAGACAAGCCCAGGAGATGCATTTTCGGAAATAGAAGAAAATCCCATCCCAAAAACGCAAGTCAAAGAATGTCTGCACAACTGTTTAAAGTTAACAAATTACATCCCCACAAAGTTCACCCAGTACAAGAGTTATCTGAAGATGATCCTAACCGCAGAGAAAGTTATACCAAGATGGATTGTTACTAGCCGTATATGAAAAAAATGTTTATCTTGAAGCACTAGTTACAGTACCTATATTATCGAATATTTATTCCGCTACGAGACTAGAGATAATCATCTGGGGCTCATGTCATGGGTTGAATAGTTTTCCTATGTGAAAAAAAATATCAGAATAATTTTCAATATGAATACAAGAGATTCCTACTTACTGTGTCAGCAATCTATATCTATGGATCAATAAAATTCATCATCAATCATCCAGGCCATTTTGACATACATCGCAAAACGCATATTTATGAGACAAGACGAAAAAAAAAACTTCTCATATTCCATCCAAGCAAAATCATTATATGAACGGTAGCACTATCTATACTGAAATGAAATTTTGTAATAATCTTCCGAAAAACATTAAAGATATTGTAGTTGCTAACAGATTTCTGAAATATTTAAGAGAATTCTTATGTACTTTAGAGCCCTACAATACTTATGAATATTTTCTGGCCAGTAGGAATTTATGAACCAAATTTTATTGAAAATTGCGCTATGTATTTATAGAAATTATTTCTACTTTCATTAATCATGCGCAATATGACGCACTCTTTAAAATGTTTGAAACTTGAAGCTATTCATTGAATATTTCATTTTTAGATTCAAATGTACACATTTGATATTTTTACAATTTTCCTTTTGACGCATTTCTCAGCCAAAAATATTCTGCCACTCCTGTGAATGATTATAAAATACTCTGTTGAAATAAATGTAACTATCTATCTATTCTCTGATATATCCATTTTCACCCTTCATGTATTAGGTTGTTTCCAAACTTTTGTCCACTTTAATGCCATGTGTTTTTGTAGCTCTATATCACAATATTAATTCTACTGTGTTGTGATTCATACTGATCGATAGAGAATTTTGTACTCAACTTTTTCAGATCGGATCGTCATTGTGATGAAAAGTGAATCCTTTACGACAACAGGAGTCATTCAAGACAGTGGTTAGACACCACCCAGGCACTTTCCAATGACAAACACCCACCAAAAAAGACCAATATTACTGTATGGTGGTCAGCGGCAGGTATGGTTCATTATAACTTTTTGCAACCAGACAAACCACATTCCTATTTGGTGGGAATCGATAAAATGTACCGAAAATTCGTCTGCAGCAGCCGTCACTGGTCAACAGATGAGTTCGGATCTTTCTCCATGACAACGCCAACCGCACTTTACCGGTAGAACCTTCGCCAATCAGGACCAGGCAAAAACAACCTTCGACGACTTTATCGAATCCAGAGTACACGGAATGAATCAACTTGTGTTGCGTTGGCAAAAGTGCACCGATTCAAATGACGCTTATTGCGATTAAATTGAACACGTATTCACTGAAATATTAGGAACAGTTCAAAGTAGACTCGTAAAAACGAAGAAAACCGTTGAAACAACCTAATATATGTATGAATATTTGAAAATTTTTGGAATATCACGGTAATATGTTCAGCGATCAGTTTTAAACTATTTTGCCAGAAGATCTTCAAAATATTTGGGGTGGTATTAAAGCTAAGCACGGTCCTGATTTTTTTTACGTATTAGGCAAAGTTAACAATCAAAAGGCCCTTGGAAACATAGAATAAGCACCAAAGGCGCCTAAAGAGTGCCAATTCTAATTGTGTACCATTCTGTACTTCGGCAGCAAGCCAGTCCTAGACATATTTTCATCTCTAACGTGATGTGGCAATGCGTTAAATAGCCTCAGACCTGAACAACTTGACGCACAAGACGTTAATGTTATAGAAAATGGTATGAAAAAAAAACATTTTGTCTTATGTTACTACGTGTGCTGAAAAGTCATGGGTGTAACACATAGATGGCGTTAGTCTTATTGCATGCTCGTTTTTGCGCGCTTTTAATATTTCTGGGGTGGAAGTAGAATTGTCCCATACACAAATACCATATCGCAGTCTTGAGTTTGAGCGAAATATAAACTTGTTTTTGATTGACATTTACTATATATTTCAGATTATAAAGCAAACATATCACAGAGTTCAACTTAGAGATAATTCCAGAGTGATGGGGTTTCCAATTAAGATGACCTAAAAATTTAACGTTATTTTTTTGTGAAGAAAGGTTTTTTTTGTTCTATCCGAGCAATTCCAAGATACATGTTGATTACCTTTTCTGCCTTTTGTCTTTCATGAAAACATTCACTATTTTTTTTTGTTGAATTAAGGAGCAGTAAGTTTTGAGAAAACATTTATTCATCATAGAAACTACCAAATTACATTTGTTTTTCAAGTTGACATCTAGTCTGTCCGATATAACTGAAGATGTATCATCGGCATATTGTGTAATGAGAGCGTCAGATGTTAATGAACCAATTTCATTTACATACAGAGAGATCAACACAGGACCCAAAAAGGAGCCCTGTGGAACTCCAATATCAACTGAAATTTGATATGATTTCACTGTTCTAATTCTTTCATTCTCACAGAAATTCAGACTGAAAAACTGTTTACGATCAGTCAAAGATGATGAAAGACAATCCAATGCTGTTCTCCTCATGAGATGCATGAGGTGTCCAACGTCGGTAGTGAGGATTAAATGTCTATTAATGATTGAAAATATAAATCGAAATCAATAGTCCAGTAATATCATTTGTTTTATGTGACTATGATGATGAATAAACCTTATAAATGAAAAGTCGTCCCACGTAACTCAACCAATAGGCGGCGGCGTTGTTATTGGATTTTCCATGTTTCCTTCCTTCCCGTGTACGTCACCCCATCGCATACAGTAGGGTAGTGTTGCCAGATTTGGAAATCGCTTTTACTACTACGACTCAAAAAAATACATTATGCGATTAAATTGAAAACGTATTCACTGAAATATAAGAGCCATTGTATGAGGACCGAAAGTTCTACAAGCAAAGACCATCCAAAAAGTATATCAAATACAGCGACTGGCTTGTTTAAACACCACAGGAGTCATGAGAAGAACACCAGCCGCGGCAATGCAATTAATTACTGGTTTGACCCCTCTGGACCAGTACCTTAAGGAGGTTGCGTTAATGACCATGTTACGATTGCGCACGGCTGGTGTAAACCTCGAAGTAGGAATGGGTCAATTGAGGCTGAGCCTATGGCGAGAAGCCATGCAGGCAGCCAGTGATGCGATTGAATCCAGATTTGTGTTCAATAAACCCTACAAAATACAAATAAAACACTGATAACAGGCAAGCCCTATTAGCCTTGAACAGACAACGTGTTACCTCAGGGCTAGTACTAGAGTGCCACCAAGATTTAGCCAAAGCCTCGGTAGATAATAACATCAGCCTGAGGTGGGTTAAAGGGCACGACAGGAGTAAAGGCAAGCGCATTGGCGACTCTTTAGCTAAGAAAGCAGCTGGACTAAGCATTTTAGGACTCAGTGGTGCCTACGGCTTGATGACTTCGACAATTGCGGAACTAGCCAAATGTTACACCCATGCTCAATCCCTAAAGAGATGGGATGGAATCAAAGGATGCAATCTTGCCAGGATCACCCTGGGCGACCCTGGGAAGCTGTTGATGACCAGGAAAAATCTACGCTTAACACTGTCAACTAAGGAAACACCTCCATAACATGGGGCTAGTGGACACACCTCTATGCAGGATGTGTGAACAGAAAGATGACACTGTCAGGCATGTCCTATGCGAGGGTCCGGAGTTATCGTCCATAAGAGAGTGTGTGTTTGGCGAGTCTTGGCCTACACCTGCCGATATGAAGGAGATGTCCACCAGTGACCTGTCCACAAGATGGACGATGACCTAGGAGGACAACACCTCGGGAGGATGTACAATGGGTCACATGTGGCCTAAGCGCTCTGGGCCTACACTCACCTTCCCTACTCTACAGATACAGATGCTTTTGGCGATACATCTTCTGAAAGCGATTTTTAATTATTGGAACGGGCACACTCGATGACTGGTTTTGGCTATTTGGTCTCTCATTTCTCGCCCATATAATCCAACGCCTTTCGGGGTATTAGCGACGGTAGTAGTTATTTTCTGACACGTGTCAGTCCATTAACCTACTGTCTAGGTAAATAGAGGTTGGCCTGAATGAATTGTTCCTTTAGATGATTTGATTTACAGCCAGTCTTCAAGTATGCCCACAT